GGCTTTCCATCTTTAACACCATTTGTGTAAGAAAACAAACAAACAAACAAAACCACACATTTCCCCCCCCCAACTGTTTTGTTGTTGTCTTGTTTGTTTTTATTTTGGTTTTCATCAAAAAAGGTGAAATTATTTCTGGACCTTCAATTCTTTTCCATAATCTGTTTGTCCTTATGCCAGCACCACATCTTATTGTTGACTGCCCTTTTGTAGTAAGTTTTGAAGCTAGGAAGTTGAAAGTCTTCCACTTTGTTATTTTTTCCAACTTTTCTTCTTCATCCTTTTTGGTTCTGAGGATCAAACTCAGACTCATGCACATGATAAGCATACAACTGAGCTCTCTGTAGCTTTGACTTTATCATTTTTAATATAATTTTTTATTTATTACAATTTGTTCACTTTGTATCCCAGCTGTAGCCCCACATTCATCCCCTCCAAATCCGGACCTCCTCCCCTTCCATCTGACCCTAGCCTATCAGGTCTCATCAGGACTGTCTTTTGTAGTCTTCCTCTGTGGCCTGGTAAGGCTGTTCCCCCCTCAGGGGGAAGTGATCAAAGAGCCAGCCACTGAGTTCATGTCAGAGACAGCCCCTGTTCCCCTTACTGGGGAGCCCATTTGGAGACTGTTCTGCCATGGGCTACCTCTGTGCAGGGGTTCTAGGTTATCTCTATGAATGGCCCTTGGTTGGAGTATCAGTCTCAGAAAAGACCCCTAGGCCCAGATTATTTGGTTCTATTCTTCTCCTTGTGGGGCTCCAGACCCTTCCAGGTCTTTCTGTCTTCCCAGTCTTTCATAAGATGACTTTATCATATTTTTTTTAAAGTATGTGGCCACACATGTGTGTGAGTGTGGGGCTGTAACATAGATGTGGCATTTTTGAGATCTTACCTAGGAACTTTCTGGAAGGTAGTACCTGGAAGATGGGATATACTCATTAAATATTGAGAGAATGAATGAGTGAACCTCCTTCATAACTTTTTTTTTTTTTAATTGGGTGTGGTGGAACACCTTTAATCTCAATGCTGAAGAGGCAGAGGCAGGCAGATCTCTATGAGTTTGAGGCCAGCCAGGGCTGCATAGTGAGACATTTCCTTTTAAGGGGGTTGCTTTTGAATTGGTCCTAGGGAAAGAACCTTTAAAATATGTGTTTTGGGTTTTAATAACCATCTTTAAATGAACTAAGGATGTGGATTTTGGACAATTAGATCAACAAGTGGGACTGGGAATGTAGTTTAGTTTTTAGAGTGCTTACCTAGCATACATAAAGTCTGGGCTCAATCCCTAGAACTATATAAACCAGAGGTGATAGATGCCTATGATCTCAGCACTCAGGAGGTAAAGGCAAGAGGATCAATAGTTTAAGGGCCACCTTGACTACATGGTATGCTCAGGGCTAGCCTGGGGTTAAAAAAAAATCAATAAATGACCTTGAAGCTGGCATGCTGGGTTCCATGTGGTATAGAATAAGAGGTAGAAGTGGAGTTTTAAGCTTTGGTAATCGCAAAAAAGATTGTAAGAAAAGTTTCATGACAAAATGAGGTGGTTTTCCCTTTTTTATCTTCACACTTGTCTAGATTCTACTGCCTTGGGGTTTTCTGGTTGGTTCTTCAGAGTCCTTATTGGACTTTTTGTTTCGTTTTGTTTGTTTGTTTGTTTGTTTGTTTTGAGACAAGGTCTCTCTATGTAGCCCTGTCTATCCTGAGACTGCCAGGAACCTCCCTGCACCTGGCTCCCAAGTGCTGGGGCTAAAGGCATACGCCACTATGCCCAGCTCTAGCTGGAGTTTTATATTGACTTTCATTGCTTTTATTCTTCTTGGACAATTTTTTTCAAGCCATAGCCAAAGCCCCTCTCTAGATTTGAAGAAAAGGCGGGAATTGAAGTCTTGGGAAAGAGCTTTGAAAGGTGTTATCTGTCATTTGCTCTGCCATTTTCCTGGATGTCTCTGTTAGTTAAGTTTAAGCAGACTCACTTTCTAGAGGTAGGAAGGTGCTTTTGGATGCAAGTCTGCTTTGGAAAGCAAAGGAAGGTAGGTCCCTCTGGCCTTGTTGGCCTTTGACAGCTAATATAACTTTGGACTGAATGTCTTTAGTTTTTCACCAATGACAAGCCCTCCTGCTTGGTTTTTCTCTTACAGGTGGATGCTGTGCTATTCTTCTCTACATCTAACCTAATGCTCCCACTGGCATGTTTTTAGGAATTTATGAATGACCTGTGAGGACACTGGCCCCTGGTAGAAGGAACAAAAGGCACAGTATGGAGAAGGAGGTGCCTTCTGGGCTCTACTCTTCTAGGGGCCTGTGTTCTTGGCATTACTTGCTGCACCTTCAAAATGAGGGCATGTGGTGCTTCTGGTGGACTATGTGGCCCTGTTGCCATACTTTCACTCTGTCCACATCTCCTGCAGGCTTTGAAATCTTGGGTGTAGCATTTGTCTTCTGACTTTAGATGTGTATCTGAAAAATGGGGACAATAAAGCAATTGTCATGGAGTTATCATTAGAAAACTAGATTATATTGTATATAAAATGATGACCACAGTGTTCACAAATCCTGTTCAGAAAATGCCTACCATCACAATTACCTGTCACCATTGTCAACACTGCTGCCCTCTAGGCATTTCTGTTGTTGCTGTTTGGACAGTTGCCAGAGTTTTTAGTTCCACAGTTTATGTGTCATTGTCAAATCCACAAAGCTCTGTGCACTGGTTGTGATATATTTACTTGGTAGAAGACCTAACTTGGCCTGATGTATACAGTGTGAAGGCTGGTGTATCCCACTAAAGATGTGCGCATGGTAGAACTAACAGATCTTGTGTGTGTTTTGGGGAAGCCCAGACTCTTTGCTGTAAGGACAGTAAACTAACTGGTCTTGTATATGTTTCAGGTACCCCAGACTCTCACTGTAAGGACAATGAGAGGAGATCTGTGGGACATTCTGCTACTTGAAGGAAGAGTGACTGGTTGAGTGGGTTAGGCCTCTAGACTGGGGCCCTGCTCATCCTTGTTCCTCCCATCACAGGGGAAATGAGGGTACATGGGCCAGAAAACCTAAAACAGCAAATTAGGGTTCAGAGCAGATAGGTTATCATAGACTTTTCTGTTAGAACTTAGGACTGCGGAGGCCTGACCACTTCCTTGAACGTTATAGGCTGCTAGTAAAGCAGCCTAGTAAAGCATGTCTGTGAGAAGGTAGTGGTTGACAGTGTGGCTGTGTTCATGGAAAGAGGTAAACTTCTTTTCTTCCTACTGTGGATTGGTGTCATAGAAAGCCCCTGAGGTCAGGGGATATTTGTGTGATGGGAGGGGTTCCTTGGCTCTGGCAAGCTGCATAGTAACAGCTCTTCAGCCTGTGGATAGGATTCTTTTTGTTTTTAAAGATAGAATTTCTCTGTATACCTCTGGCTGTCCTGGAACTCACTCTTTAGACCAAGCTGGCCTTGAAATCATAGAGATCTACCTGCCTCTGCCTCCCAACTACCACCATTGCCCAGGTTTGTTTTGTTTTATGGCAGGGGGTGGGGGATAAGATTCTTTGTGAGAGCCAAGTATGACAAACTACAAAAGTTTACTAAGGATAAGCTATTCCTTGAAAAGCGACTTTAAGCATTAAGTGCCAGTTAGGCTAATAGGTTTGAACATGAGCAGTGCCCTTCCTAGAAGAGGGACCAAACTTGTCTTAGTAAACTCATGCTACAAAAGGATGCTTTAGAACAGTGATTCTCAACCTTCTTAATGCTACAGCCCTTTAATTTAGTTCCTCATGTGGTGCTGTCAAACCATAAAATTATTTTCATTGCTACTTCATAGCTGTAATTTTGATACTGTTATGAATCTTAATGTAAATATGTTTTCCAGTAGTCTTAAGTGACCCTTGTGAAAGGGTCACCCCAAAAGTGGTTGCAATGCACAGGTTGAAAACCAGTGCTTTAGACATTACTATCTACCATACTTGTTCTTCCTGTCTCAGAACCTTGGTGGACAGTGGCCCCCAGCAGTTAGCTTGGCAGGTACACCATGCCTCTTGGGTTTAGCAGAGGATCAGGGTCTGGAGACTAGAGGCAAGAACTGTAGCTGCTTGCTTTACTGTTGAGCACTGCTTTATTTTTTATCTAGTCTCTGTTTTCTACCATGTCACAAGAAATGATACATTTGAAGACAAGTTTTGGGGTTGAGGCTCTGAAGTCAGAGTGCGCTCTTTAGGGTACTGCCCAATTCTCCTGGGTATCTGGGTGGCAAGGTATCTCATGGTCTTATTGTGTTGCATGTGATCCCTGTGATGTCAGCTCTTCTATGCCTTCTCTCAGAGGAACAGCCAGAATAAGACAAGTGCTGGGACCCTGAGCTTCCCTAAAAGTGTGTGAACTGGTCCTGTGCAGTGTGTTTCTCAGCTGAGTTCGGAGGATAGAGGGCTGGTGTTCTGGCGCAGGTATCAAAGGAACACTGTGGCCTGCTGCTCCTTTCCTAGGAAGTATAGTGGGCAAGAAGAGGTCAGAGCGGCCAGTAGGTCCCAAACTCTCTGGAGCCAGGGTGATTCTTATGGTATAGTTACCTAAATCTGTGCTAGAAGAGGGCTTAAAACTACAGGCCTTTAATCATAGTTTTGGAGACCAGAAGTTCGAGATCAAATTTGTTCCAAAGGTTCAAGTTGAGGACCCTTCCTTGCTTCTGTCTTCTGATGTTAGTCTGTAGCCCTTGTTATTCCTTGGCTTGTAGAAGGACGCCAGTCACCTGGTTCTTTCCCCTGTGTCTTCATATGTGCTCCCACTGTACATGTCTCTTTCAGAAGTTTACCTGTCATGCAGTTTGAACTTACCTGGCTTACTTTCCTTTAACCTAGTTGCCCTGAATCCCATCCCAATATGGTCATTTTCTGAGGTACCACAGTTGCCATCTTCAGCATCCCTTGCTTGGATACACAGCTCAACCTGATAGCCTCTTCTAGGTGCTTGGCTACCCCTGAATCCTCCCATCTCACTTGTTCCATCTGTTCTCAACCAGAACCGGGTGGTGGGTCGGCCTAAGGGCAAGTTGGGCCCGACCTCAGCGGTGAAGTTGGCTGCCAACCGAACAACAGCAGGAGCTCGCAGGCGCCGGACGCGATGCCGCAAGTGCGAGGCCTGCCTGCGGACGGAGTGTGGAGAGTGCCACTTTTGCAAGGACATGAAAAAGTTTGGAGGCCCCGGGCGCATGAAGCAGAGCTGCATCATGCGGCAGTGTATCGCGGTGAGTGCACAGGAGGCACAGGTGGGGCTCCTGCAGGGTTTTGGACCTTTCTGCTCCCAGCTTCCTAGTCTGACCTGCCCCTGTCCTACCCTAGAGGAGTTCCCTGTGGGATGAGGGAGTTGAGGTGCTGCTCTTTCCAGCTGCCCTTAGCTGTACTGGGGCAGCCTTGCCATGTTGTCAGACACCTATTTGTTAACTGGTGGTCTATAACTCTTCCCTTCTTGAAATGGCTGAGTACTTTGAAGTCCCTTTTATTAAAGAGGGCAGAGCAGCGTCTTGACTGACCCTGTGACCCCTGTTACCAACATTTAAGTTCCAGTTCATGATGATTCTGGGCCCTTCTTTCCTGTCCTTTCTTCATAGTCAGAAGTTTGGGTGGAAGGTCAGTTTTGTCCTAGACAAGGAGAGGTAATATATGGCAGGGTGGAGCTGGGTCCATGGAGAAGTTGGCCAGCTCCCCCAAACACTCCATGCTTCTCTTACAACCTGATACAGTGCTGGGTTCAATTTTAGTTCCTTCCTGCACACACTCTTAGACTTTGCATTCCCTGAGGACCCAGTGGTCTTCTTCCTGTCCCCTTAAAAAGTTGCCTTAGTTGGAGTAACCAGATTCTTCCACCCTGGCGAACTGGTCCATGAGTCCAACATGATATTAGGTGAGTGAGTTCCTTTTCCATGAATGCTGTTGTTCCCCAGTCCCTAAGCTTTGGGTACCTTCTCCTTCTCTCTTATGTTCATACCAAGTTGTTCTTTGTTACTTGTGGTCAGAAAATACATATCATAAAATGTGCCAACTTATCCATTTTTTAAGCTTATGGTACATCAGTGTTAATTTTGTGCACATGTCTGTGCAGCTGATCTAGATAATAGGTCATTTTGATATTCCAAACCATTTTTTCCCGGTTTTTTAAGAGTTTTTTTTTTTTTTTTTTTTTTTAATTAAGTGTGGTTTTTTCTTTTTTTTTTTTTTTAAGATTTATTGATTTTATTATGTAAACAATGTTCTGCGTGCATGTTCACCTAAACGCCAGAAAAGGGGACCAGATCTCATTATAGATGATTGTGAGCCACCATGTGGTTGCTGGGAATTGAACTCAGGACCTCTGGAAGAGCAAGCAGTGCCCTTAACCTCTGAGCCATCTCTCCAGCCTAGCTTCTAAGAGTTTAACCACTATAGATAGCATGTGTTTGAGAAATTGGTCAGGTTTGTCATTTTATGAGTAGTTTATTTCACTTACCATAATGTGCTCAAAGATAATAATATTATATGCCTGACAGAATTGTTTGAGTTTGAAATTTTTGTATGCTTATTTGTTTACTGTGCCCATGGTATTTCTTTGTAGCCCTTTTGGCATCAAACTCATGGCAGTCCTCTTGTACCAGCCTCCTACATGTGATGATAGGTGTGTGCTAACGCACCTGGCTAATTTGTTAATTTTGACACTAGGTGTATAACACACCTTTTTGTTTTTGTTCTCTGGTTATGGCTACTGGAGTTGTTTCTACCTATTGCCTCTTGTGAATAATGCCGCAGCGAACATGAATACTTGAATACCTTTTTCAGGTCTGGCCTCTGTGGGCAGAAGTGGAACTGTTGGATCATAATGATTCTGTTTTTCTAGCTTTTGAGTAATCTCCATAGTGGTGATACTGTTTTACATTGCACGAGAAGTGTAGAGATTCTGTTTCCCCACATTTTTGCCCACATTACTTTCTTGAGTTTTCTGTTCTTTTTTTTCTAATAGGTATTGGGTAGTATCTCACTGGTTTTTAATTTGTATTGCACTAATAATGATTGATGTTGAACATCTTTTCATGCACTTGTTAGCTATTTATATATCTTCTTTCAAGTCCTTTGATCATTGTTCAGTTGGATTTTTTGGTCTTTTGTTTTGGTAGGTTGTAGAAATTTTTTATATTCTGCATATTATCCCTCAAAATCAAATTCAAGTTATTTTTGTTTACTTTGTCTTACATGTATGATCATTTTTGCCAGCATCTATATACACCATGTGCATGCATTGTATGAGTGTTTTGCCTGTGTATGCCTGATGCCCATAGAGGTCAGAAAAGGGTATCAGGTCTCCTGGGACTAAAGGTACAGGCAGCTGTGAGGCACCAAGTAAATGGGTGCTGGGAATTGAACCTGCATCATGCCTTTATCTCAGCACTCAGGAGGCAGTCAGATCTCTGATAGTTCAAGGGCAGCCTGGTTTATATAAGAATCCCAGGACAGCTAGGCCTATGTAAAGGCCTATGCCTTTAGTCCTTTTGTTTCTGAAATTGTGAAGTATCAGACATCACACATACATCCAAAAAGAATATGAAGAGAGTGATTATTCTGTTGTATTAAATAAAAAGGTGGGCTATATAATGTTTATTATTATTTGCCCTAATAATTATTGTGGCAGTATTATTTAACCCCCTATCACAATCAAATAGGACGTAGACACCTGTTAGATTTCATAATTGCTTTGGGCTGGGCAGATATTTCTACCTAGGCTATCTCAATAACATCCCCATCCCCTCCCATCCCCATCCAATGCCATCTGCCTTAACCATTCCTATCTGGGCTACCTTCCATCCATAATCTTATAAATACTTGCTTTTATTCTTCATCTGGGCCTTTCCACACCCTTATTGTAGTCCTTCCTCTCGGCCCACGTGGTTCCTTCTCCACACTAACCCATCGTGGTGTCCTCTTTTCTTCTCTCTTCCTGTCCGTCAGTTTCCCGAAGCCCCAGAAAGTTAGCCACCACACCTACCCCATTCTGCCCTGCCCAGGTAGAGGCCATTTAATCATCCAATCAGGTATAATGTCTTAGGATGTTTTACACAACAAGGATAGGTGTACCCAGGGAGTAACCAGATCTTGAGGGCCAGTAACTAGCATCAATATACAAGCATCAGACCAACCTCCAACATTATTCTCTATAAGGTACAGAAGGGTGTGGGATGAGGAAACAGCCGCTACTGTGGTATTTGGGAAAACAAAGACCACTCACTGAAATGCAAGGAAAAGATGTGTTCAGGCGTGATCTGAAGCAGTGGTTCTTGGAGGATAAGAAAGGCAGAAAGAACCCTGAGGTGAACAAGGTCAGAGAAGCTGAACAGGAAACTGTTAACCTGCAAGAAGATGAGGGCATCTAAAGCAAGGAACTCTGTGTGGTGTGAATAGAGTAGGGCCAGGCTTGGTGGAACAGGTCATGGAAGCAAAAGGAAGGTCTGAGGTTAGAGACTGATTCTGAGGCAACAGAGGTAAATTACTCAGAAATCCTGGCGTGGAGATGAGCTTGGACAACAAGGAGGATATCTGTATAAGAAGCCATATGAAGACAGGGAGCCTAAAGGAAGGGGCAGGGCATATGGGTCACAGGTGGGTAAAGGTTAGTGGCTGGGGCAAGAGGACTGACAGAAGTGTGAGGCCAGCCTGTTCTGAATGAAGCAACTGCCAGATCAGTCTGAACTACAGAATGCAGTGTCGGTTAAAAAAAAAAAAAAAAAAAAGTTAAGCCAATTCAGGAAGCCGTGTGTGCAAGGGAAAGCAGAAGACACAAGAGTAAGACCCTGTTAACAAGACTGCTCAAGGAGATGCTTACAGGCAACTACAGAGATAAGATGGCACACTGTACAGGATTCCTGTATCTTCCCACCTGTGCAGATAGTCATGGGTCACTTGAAGTGTGCTAAGCTCTAGGTGACAACTGTGCTCAAAAGCAGCAGTTTCTACAGACAGGCTCCTTAAAATTGAGGGTTGTTTTGTTTGTTTGTTTTTTGAGAGTAGGTCTCGCTGTATAGCATTGTCTGGCCTCCAACTCATTGAGATCCATCTGCCTCTTGAGTGCTAGGAATAAAGGTGTTTGTCACCATACCCAGTGTCACAAAGACTTTTTAACTTATCTGTGAAACATATGTATCCCAGATTATTTTGAGGCCCTTGTGAAGCACTTTCATTTAAACTGATGATATTTCCCCTGTGTATCAGGCACTAATTGGCACAGAAAGGTGGGAGATCTGCCTTGGCCTCTGACCTCACTGTGTATCATCATGTATAGCAAGACCCAAAATACATGATCTTAAGGAAATAAAAAGATCCGAGAAAATTCCTGATTATCTTTGTTGTTTATTATTGCTGTATTTAAAATTACAATTAGAAATTTTAAAATGTTTTATGTTCATTTTTAAAATAAGCATATTCACAAATGACACGTTTTTATGAGAGCCAACTCCATATTTTCAAAAATTAAAGTAGTAAGGGGAAAGAGTGGCATTGTTGCATGTTTCTGTAAATCTCTTGTGTCTGGCTTATTAGGACTTGTATTTTCATATCTGCTTCTACGTATGTTAGATATATTGATTTGGTTAGAGAATGAGGAAAAATCCAGCCTCCCACAGACACTTGAGCAAGGGAGGAACATGCTAATTGCTTCTGCAGATAAGCCTGGGTTCTTTCAAGAGCCATCAGAATCTCACAAGTGGCAGCTTCTTTTTCTTTTCTTTTATTTGCTTGTTTTCAAAACAGGGTTTCTCTGTGTAGCCCTGGCTGTCCTAGAACTCACTGTGTAGACCAGGCTAGCCTAGAATTCAGAGATCCATTTGCCTCTGCCTACTGAGTGCTGGGACTAAAGGATTGAGTCATCGTTGTCCTGGCAACATCTAACAACTTCTACTCCTTCTTCCTCCTCCTCCTTCTCCTCTCTCCCTCCTTTTCTTCCTCCTCCTTTTTTAAGATTTATTTATTTTATAAATGAGTGCTCTAACTCATGTACACCTGTTTGCCAGAAGAGGGCATCAGATCTCAGTATAGATGGTTGTGAGTCACCACGTGGTTGCTGGGAATTGAACTCGGTACCTCTGGAAGAGCAAACAGTACTCTTAACTGCTGAGCCATCAGTCCAACCCCTGTTAACTTCTTAAAGTTAGTTGCAAAATGGAATCTGAAATTGTAACAATCAGCTTTTCATACTGTTACATTAAAAGTTATCAGCCTTCCCCTTGCTTCTGCAGTTATGCTTATAAACACTGGTGACTGAGGCCATTTCCCAAAGATTGCAATGTACTCTAACCATCTGCACATAAATCACATTTGATAGTATTACCATCATTCTGATAAAAAAGCCTTTTCCTGGCCATGGAGGGACTACCAGGTGAAGGAAAACTTCATTTACACTTAGAAGATTCATGATTTTCGTCATTTGTATCAATTGACAAGTTTTTTTTTTTGTTTGTTGGTTTCTTAATAACAGGTTCACTTTTCAAGAAAATACAACAGCAGCTACTGGTTCTTCTACTCTTTCAAATAAAAATTATGTTCTAAGCTAGACATGTTATCTCCCGGTAGTAGTCTTAGTAACGGGAAGCTGAAGCAGGCAGGTCATGAGTTTCTAGATAGATGCCCTGGGCTACAGTATAAAACCCTGTCTCTAAACAAATAAATAGTAGAAGAAACAAAATAAAATGAAGATGTTTTATGGAGAACCTGGTGGTCAGTTGAGCTCAAAACTTAGTCACATGTACTCTTCCTCTGATAACAGTCCCTGAGCATGGGGAAGTATTGTGTTCATACTTCGTGTGTGGAAAGGATGTGTGTTCAAGGGTTGAGGTTTTTGTAAAGTTAATAATCAAAGACATTAAGTGGAACTAGTGATCTTTTCAGTACACATATGGTCCTGAGTGACTTGGTTATCTGGATGGGAGGCTCAGGCATCTAGTAAAGTAAGGAAGTCCCAACGTTTTTCACCCACCCATGCTTTTGTACTGTTATTGCAGAAGGCAATACAGTACATACCTATCTCTTACTCAAGATAGGTATGGCTCCACAGTCCTCTTTTGGGGTCTTGGGTACTGAGGCTGTGGATTGTGGCTTGATAAAAATGGTAAGAAAAGCTTTAGCCCTCTGTGGACACAATTCTTTCTGATCTTTTCCAAGTGGGAAGCCTTGCCTGACTTCTATCTACACTTAAATTTGTCTGTATAAACAAAATGTTCTTCCCTTTGTCTGCCTCATTCCTCCAAAAGCTAAGCTCAAGATAGAAGAGATTTTTATCTGTTTTGTTCATTGCTGTATTCCTAGTTCTTGTGCTTGGCACTGGTAGTATGAAAACTGGTTGAAAATTCGCCATTACCAGCTTCCTGATTCCTGACAGGCCTAGTCCCCAGTGAGGTCTGTCTTTACTCCTTGATGACTTGCATGTTTCTTGGGTCCTCAGCCAGTGCTGCCCCACACCGCTGTGTGCCTTGTGTGTGGCGAGGCAGGGAAGGAGGACACGGTGGAAGAGGAAGAAGGCAAGTTTAACCTCATGCTCATGGAGTGCTCCATCTGCAACGAGATCATCCACCCTGGATGCCTTAAGGTAGCATCCCTAAGGGCCCTGGATATCCCCCCCCCCATGCTTCAGGGCCTGATTCTGATGTAGCAGCTGGGTTCCCGCCTTAGAGACTGCTGCTCCAGTGGTAAGGATACACAGGTGGCATACTGAGCTCCTAGAGGACCCTCATTCTAGGGCATTCTCTTTTAGGAATAACTCCAGGGCAGCAAGAGTTCGAAGTAATAACTGAGTGAATAAATTCCTTCTGAACACCTGGTACCTCAGAACCATAACAGGGTCCAAACATCTTAGGAGATAGAAAACAAGGATCCTTTCTCCTATTTTCTGTGAGAAAAGGACCTGGGCCAGGGAGGGCGGGTCCTAAGGGTGGTTGCTCTCCTGTACCTCTGCACTAGGAACCGGTTCTTGTGATATGCTAGGACAGGACTGCCTTCTGGGTGACCTCTGTGCCTGCCTGGCTCAGGCAGCTGATTCCACCTTGGAAGGGAAGAACACATTCTATGCTGCCACATGTCTCTGTCCCAGGAGAATGCATTCATATTTGGGCTACAAGGGGTGAGGGGCTTTGTTTTGGCCCTTGTTTCCTCATCACACCCACCTGAAGGTGCTTATCCATGGCTTTGGAATCCAGCCTCCCCTGGTAATTACTGCTTTACTACTTCTCCAGTGCTCAGCTGAGTTAAATAACACAACCAGGATGGTGGATTCTTTCTTTTGGCTAGGTGCAAGATGCATCCAGCTTTGGGGGAGGGATGTAAATGCTGAGGCTGACTGTGCCTTAAAGAGACCTTATATCCTTGTGGACCCTCTGGACTCCCTTTTTTATGCCCACTAAGACCTGTCCTGTTCTTGCAGATTAAGGAATCAGAGGGTGTGGTCAATGATGAGCTTCCCAACTGCTGGGAGTGTCCGAAGTGTAACCATGCCGGCAAGACCGGGAAAGTGAGTGCGGACTCCAAGTCCGTGGTTGGGTCGGGTTGGCAGAAAGGGATGGGCTGGACCTTGCCACAACCAACCTATCCCTGGTTGTCAGTCAAGTGGGGTGCAGTGGGCTGGGAAAAGAAGAGCAAGTTCAAAGATATACAGTTGGATTGTTCTTCTTTCTTTTTGGCCTACAAGCAAAAGCGTGGCCCTGGCTTTAAGTATGCCTCCAACCTGCCCGGCTCCTTGCTCAAGGAGCAGAAGATGAACCGGGACAACAAGGAAGGGCAGGAGCCTGCCAAGCGGAGGAGTGAGTGTGAAGAGGCTCCCCGACGCAGGTCAGATGAGCACCCCAAGAAGGTGCCCTCAGATAGCATCCTACGCCGAAAGTCTGATGATGTGCACCTGAGAAGGAAGCGGAAATATGAGAAGCCCCAAGAGCTGAGTGGACGCAAGCGGGTAAGAACTGGGAGGCCCTGGGCATCAAAAGGGTGGTGTGGCGGGTCTTAGGTGTGGGGTGTGGGGTGGGGACCAGGGAAGGTTAATGGGTAGAACTCAGGATCCTGGCCTCTTAAGAGCTGCCCTGAGCAGGTCACCCAAATCCTGAGAGCCTGGCCCAAAAGAAAGAGAAAAGCCAGCGAAGTCACTCCTCTTCCCACCCCCTTTAGGCCTCGACGCTTCAAACGTCCCCCGGTTCCTCCTCTCACCTCTCGCCGAGGCCCCCTCTAGGCAGCAGTCTCAGCCCTTGGTGGAGATCCAGTCTCACTTACTTCCAGCAGCAGGTGCTCCCACGCCCCACCCTCCTGAGGCCCTGGGGACTTGCAAGTCCAGGCTGTCCTCCTCTTCACTCCCCAGTACCCCTGGTGATGCTCCTGTGGCAGACCTGAGAAGTTCTGTGAGGTTGAGAAACTTCTGTTGGTTGGGGAAGCTGCAGCTGGGAAGGTCCTGGTCTCCCCCCCACCCCCAACCCCACTTTGCTAATGGGCCTTGCCACAAGGTGGCACCTGGAGAAGCTCCTGGCTTAGGCTTGTTTAGGGATGCCCCCTGCCTGGTCTCCAGTTCAGGGCTCCCTCAGCCGTGGTGCTGCTGTTAGTGGGAAACTGCCATTTGTGATCTGTCTCTGGTGGGAGGTCAGCTGGGTGGGAACAATTAACCATCTTCCATTATATCTATCATTCTCTGGGAAAGCAACAGGCAGAATTATGCTGTCTGTTAGTCAGATTGAAAGGCATGGCTTTGTGGAAAGATGTCCTTCTAGCCCTTGCTGAAGAGATTGCACTTGCAGTGTGGTGTGGTATAAAGGGGACCATCTTTCTCCAGTCCAAGAACAAGCTCTGTATCCTTTCTTCCCTATGACAGCTAAAACCTGGCAAAGAAGATAAGCTTTTCAGGAAAAAGGTACCATCTTCCCTTCTCTCATGTACCTGCAGCCCACTTTCAGCTGTCAGAGCTGTAGGCAACACAACCAGTGGCCTTTGTATATCCCATAATAGAGTCTGGGGTGGGTGCTGCCCCGAACTGTATGGGTTAATCACAGGCCACCCATCAGCACCCCTTTCTCTCTCCTGCAGCGGCGTTCCTGGAAGAACGCTGAGGATCGGCTGGCACTGGCCAACAAGCCCCTTCGGCGCTTCAAGCAGGAACCAGAGGACGATCTGCCTGAGGCACCTCCTAAGACCAGGGAGAGTGACCAGTCACGTTCCAGCTCACCCACTGCTGGGCCTAGCACTGAGGGGGCTGAAGGCCCAGAAGAAAAGAAAAAGGTGAAGATGCGCCGGAAACGGCGCCTTCCCAACAAAGAGTTGAGCAAAGAGCTAAGCAAGGAGCTCAACCATGAGATCCAGAAAACAGAGAGTACCTTGGCCCATGAGAACCATCAGCCCATCAAGTCAGAGCCAGAGAGTGAGAATGAGGAGCCAAAGAGGCCCCTAAGCCACTGCGAACGCCCCCACCGCTTCAGCAAAGGGCTCAATGGCACTCCTCGGGAGCTTCGGCACCCACTGGGACCTGGCCTGCGCAGCCCACCTCGTGTTATTTCCCGACCCCCACCCTCTGCATCCCCACCCAAGTGCATCCAGATGGAGCGTCATGTGATCCGGCCGCCACCCATCAGCCCCCCACCTGACTCGCTGCCCCTGGATGATGGAGCAGCTCATGTCATGCATAGGGAGGTGTGGATGGCAGTCTTCAGCTACCTCAGCCACCATGACCTGTGTGTCTGCATGCGGGTCTGCAGGACCTGGAACCGCTGGTGAGGAACAATCCTGCATAGGGCTTAGATTGGGGCTCAGGATAGTCTATGGCAGCATAGATTGCTTGAATTGCTAATGGAGGCATCACACCCATTTGCTTTTCTAATATGGGAAACTAAGGACCACATAGAGTTCCTTGTCTAGACTTAGCTGAAGTTAAGTATAAGTGTGCCTGTATTGACTAATTCTAGCCTGACATTTTCCAGTATTCTGGTTTTAGCCGAGTTTCTGATCTTCTATCCTGAACAGGAGGATCCAGTGCCTCCACAGGGGTTGTTAGGTTTGTCCTATAGAAGGCATAGTGAGGCCCAGGGGATATTTTATGGAGAGTACTTGCTAACCTATTCTATATAAGCATGTGGTCATCAACAGAGATGCCCAAATGTGGTCAGGGTGGATTCTTAAGTACATTGTAGAGGGCTGAATCTTAATATAATTAATTATTTATTTTACATGTATGAGTGCTCTATCTGCATGTACACCTGCCCGCCAGAAGAGGGCATCACATCCCAGTACGTGATGGTTGGGAGCCACCATGTGGTTGCTGGAATCAAACTCAGGACCTCTGGAAGAGCAGACAGTGCTCCTAACCACTGAGCTCTCTCTGCAGCCCCCGAGGGCTGAATCTTTTTTTTTTCTTCCCCCCATAAGCCCCTCCCTCCTCCCCTCCTGATCCCACCCTCCCTCCCCTTTCTGCATGCATGCCACTCCCCAAGTCCACTGATAGGGGAGGTTCTCCTCATCTTTCTGATCTTAGTCTATCAGTTCTCATCAAAAGTGGCTGCATTGTCCTCTACTGTGGCCTGATAAGGCTGCTCCCCCCTCAGGGGGAAGTGATCAACAAGCAGGCCAATCAGATTATGTCAGAGGCAGTCCCTCTTCCCATTACTATGTAACCCACTTGGACACTGAACTGCCATGGGCTGCACCTGTGCAGGGGTTCCAGGTCATCTCCACGAATAGTCCTTGGTTGGAGTATGAGTCTCTGGGAAGTTCCCTGTGTTCAAATTATCTTGTTCTGTTGCTCTCCTTGTGAAGTTCCCGTCCCCTCCAGCTCTTACTATTTCCCACTTCTTACCTAGAATTCCATTCACTCTGCCCATCAGTTGGCCATCAGGCTCAGCATCTGCTTTGTGTGGACAGGCCGAGGGCTGAATCTTAAAGGAACTTCCTCCTTGAGGATGGCAAGTGGGGTTCTCCAGGTGAGACGCCAACTCTGCTGATTTTCCCTGCCTTGCCCAACTCCCAGGTGCTGCGATAAGCGGTTGTGGACCCGCATTGACCTGAACCACTGCAAGTCTATTACACCCCTGATGCTAAGTGGCATCATCCGGCGACAGCCTGTCTCCCTTGACCTCAGCTGGACCAATATCTCCAAGAAGCAGCTGAGTTGGCTCATCAACCGGTTGCCTGGTAAGGTTTTGGTTAAGGATTCCAAATGTGCAGTAATGATGCCTGGATTGTATCACCCAACTTCTACCCTCATCTCATTTCCTAGGGCTCCGAGACTTGGTGCTGTCAGGCTGCTCATGGATTGCTGTCTCAGCCCTCTGTAGCTCCAGTTGTCCATTGCTCCGGACCCTGGATGTCCAGTGGGTAGAAGGACTAAAAGATGCCCAGATGCGGGATCTCCTGTCCCCACCCACAGACAATAGGCCAGGTGAGCTGCCAGGCTGGGGCTGTACCCCAAGGGGGTCTGTCTCATGGAGATGGGGTGACCAAGACACCCTGTTCAGTTTTGACTACCTGTATCTCCCCTCCCAGATGGTGTATGTACCATCAGCTTTCTCTGGCCTCAGCCCTTTGCTGGAAGACATTGCTTTGGGTTTGAGGGTATGCTCCTAGGTGAGCTGCCTGGGCCCACCCCCCAGCCAAAGCTCAAATGGTACATGTATGAGGTGGGATGACAACAGACAAGGGCAGTGGGGCATTTCTAGGCCAGCTGTGCTATTTTAGGATAAAATTTAGGCTGTGTCTGCATTTTTTTTCTTGGTTTTTTGTTTGTTTGTTTGTTTGTTTTTTGAGTCAGGGTTTCTTTGTGTAGCCTTGGCTATCCTTGACTCTCTTTGTAGACCAGGCTGGCCTTGAACTCACAGAGATCTGCCTACCTTTGTGTCCCTGAGTGTTGGGATTACTCTGATGATTTTTTTTCTTTATTAATGTATGTGAGAGCTCTATCTGCATGAACACCTGCAGGCCAGAAGAGGGCATCAGATCATTGTGTAGATGGTTGTGAGCCACCATGTGGTTGTTGGGCATTAAACTCAGGAACTCTGGAAGAGCAGACAGTGCTCTTAACTACTGAGCCATCTCTCCAGCCCCTAAATTTTCTTAACAGGAAAGACAAGGACCAACTTGGACTCAGTACTGCTAGAATGAAATGTAGTCTTGACAACAATAGATTGAGGACAGATCCTCCAACCATGTTTTTGAAATTCTGATTTCATAAGAGAATCTAGAGATACAAATTCTGATGTGAAAGCTTCTAGTTATTAATGCTGAAATTCTGGCTTGGGGCAGGGTACACTTCATGACCTTGGGCCCTGTACAGTAACAGACCAATAGCAGGACTTGATTTCCCTGTTCAGATTGATGGGTTGCCTCTCTCCTACCTGCCCCAACAGGTCAGATGGACAATCGGAGCAAACTCCGGAACATTGTAGAACTGCGCCTAGCTGGCCTGGACATCACAGATGCCTCCCTGCGGCTCATTATCCGCCATATGCCCCTGCTCTCCAAGCTCCACCTCAGTTACTGTAACCACGTCACTGATCAGTCCATCAACCTGCTCACTGCAGTCGGCACCACCACCAGAGACTCTCTGACAGAGATCATCCTCTCAGGTAAGATGGACCCTATACCTGTGGGACTTCCTAGCATCAGTGGAACAGCTGGGCACTGGCTATTTACTAAGAACTACTGTCTGGTTACAATGCCTAGAAATACAAGTGAATGTTACCACCAACTCTAGAGAGGAAGTTACTGTTAGAATTGTAATAATTCCTATCAAAGAACATTGCTAACATTAGGGAGAGCATATAACTGGTTCCTGATCCAAACTATAGCCTGGGGACATCTCCTGGGTATGAGCAACAAGCTCATGCCTGTAGCCAGAGTGTGGGCAACAGCCATGGGCTGGGAAGCAGGAGCCACTGAATATAGGGTTGACTAATGGAAACCATATTTTTCTGCCTGTGTGTGCCCCTTATGATCCTTCTACCAAGGAGCCTGTTTTAAAAATGAAATTCCTACAGATATTTCCATTATTTATGTCGGTCACATCTTACAGAATCCTTATTCTTGCCATTGTTCTTTGACTGGAGTTGGTTGGTTTTGAAGGATCTGGAGCTTGGTTGCACATGGCAAAGCCATTTGTCCTCAGTCCAGTTAACAGTTGACTAATGTTTAAGGTAGTCTGGATTGGAACTGTTACTTTTATGTGAGACAAAATTTGCAATTAAATAAAAGGGAGAAAGTTGTTCTTTTCTCAAGACATTAAGGGACGCCCTTATCTCACTGTAATTGCATTTGACACAACTGTACTATGTTTTGCTGTTACTTGTCCTTTACTTGCCATGTCCCTGCTACACACCAGGTAAGGTGGGGGGTTTAGACAGTTTGAGATCATTCTGTACCTAGAGCCCTTAGAAGCTATTTCTCCTCATTGTGAAGGTTTGATAGAGGGAATTTCAACACTAACCGGCAAAGAGCTGTGCTGAAGTGAGATTTCACTCCCATATGACACCAGCTCAAAACCTCAGTTGAGACTTGAAGGGTGATAGCTGCTAGCATCTGGTTCTAAGCTCTTAAGTTATACTAAATCTTTCCCTATGTTCTAGTTGTTATGGATGTGTAGTGCATTTCAAGAACTATGTGGGAGTGTGTGTAAATCATCTGCATTTTATTTATCCATCGCAATACACTGAGATCATATACCTACATTCTTTTTGAAAAGCCAGTGGTATTGTAGCTCAAAGTACCCAGAAGACAGAGGCAGTAGCATCTAAATTTCAGTCCTCTACTACACAGCAGGTCAAGGCCATCCTGGGGCACCTGAGAACCTATTTCAAAACAAACCAAAGTTACAACATGTTATGGCATACATTCTATACTTGATCTCTCCTTGTTTTGTACTTCCCTCCCATTAGTATAACTGAATTAATGATAAAGTGCCATAAGATGGCCATGTTCATATGGCTGGAGGATCTGGCACACAGTTGTTGCTGGTGAAGCTGCATTTGATCCTAGACATAAATACCAGGTGCTCTCGTAGATCAGATCGGGCCTCTTTCTGATCCTTACCCCTTGGGCCACCACTAGACCCCAATTTGTCCAGTTTACATTTATGTATTACTAGATAGTGGGCATGTGCTGCCATTTCCTTTCAGATGTCTGTATACAACATAAGGATTAATTACTATTGTACCCTCCTGTTACTCTGACTCTACTTTCCCCCTCTATTTTTCCAATTTTTAAAGTTGCTAATGTTGACCTTAGGATCTTGTACACTTTGGTCACTAATTAAGCCAAATAATGTATTGAGTACACTTCCTGCATGACATCTGAGTTTTGCTAGTTAATAATTGCCTTTTTGGTTTTGTTTAGCTCTGAAGCAAACTGTACAGCAAAACTGAATATCCCGTTAAAACTTACTCGTCACACAGTCAGTTGTTTCTGCAGGACAATGCTCCTACCTCCGGCCTTCCTCCCGCCCTTCAAGTTTCTCTGTAAATCATTATTCCCATCTGGATTTGCTATTATTCAGGAGCCTAACCTACCACCACCCCAGTTCTTGTTTTGGATGCCATCCTTCCTTGCCTCCATATCTTTCTTCTTGGCTGGTCTCTTGTTGGGTGGAGTATATAAAACATTTTTTATTATTCATGTGTAGCTGTTAGTTGAGTATAATAAACCCCTGGTTTGTGACCCAAGTTGCTTCAGGAAGTGAAAGGTTTTCTCCCCTGACTTCTAACTCCCACAAGTGGAGATGAGAATTTAGTGCTTTATCCATTAATTATCTTTTATTTCAGTTTTGTAGAAGTTGTCTTTGTCTCTAACTGTGTGTGTCTGAGTATGGAGAGATGGGGGGAGATGGGAGAGAGTGTGTGTATGAGTTGGGTCCCCTTGAACTGCAATTACAAGAGGTGGTGAGTCACCAAATCTGGGTTCTAGGACCCAAACTCAGGGCCTATGCAACAACAGGCACTCTTTAATTGCTAAGCCTTTTCTCCAATTAAGTGTGTGTGTGTGTGTGTATGTGTGAGTGATATTAGGGAAATAATTGCCATATCTAAAGTCATAAAGATTTTTCTATAATTGTGTATGCTATGTGGTGGTGGGGAATTCAGCTATTCTTTTGTAAGTAGGCTTTCAGTTTTCCCAGCATCATTCATTGAAAAGACTATTCCCCTATTGAAATGTATTTCATGCCTTTGTCAAAAATATTTGCGGGCCCACAAAATGGCATATATTGCCAAGCCTCATGACCCAAGTTTGATCCTCAGGTTCCACATGATGGGAAGGAGAAAGCTAACCATCAAAACTGTCCTTTTGTGTGTGTAGTCACAAATATTTTTAAAAGCTGTTTAAACCAATTTAACTACCCCGGTGTGGGTAGCTCAGACCTTTAATTCTAGCACTCAGGAGTCTGAGGCTACGTGGATCTATATAGTGCGTTTTAGAACAGCCAGGGTTTTGTAGAGAGACTTTGTCTCCATTAATAATTATTATTTTACATTTATTATTATTAATTTAACCATAGAACCTTGATTCTATTCCATTGGTCTCAGAGTCTTCATGATCTTTTCAGGCTGCTTGGGGACCATTACTAAATTTTAGAATGGACTTTTCTGTTTTGCACTACCACTGGGGATTTCACATCTTTGGCAGTATATAGTATCTTAATATTTTGTCTTCTAATCCATGAACTTGGAATGTGTGCCCCCCCCCTTCATATTTGGAATTCTTTTTTAGATTTATGTTACATGTATGTGTAGTATTTACATTATGTGTGTGCCTGGTGCCTGCAGAAATCAGAAAAGGTGTCAGATCCTCTGCCAGGGACTTCTGGGAACCTAATCTAGGTCTTCTTAACCACTAAGCCATCTCTGCACATAAGAAAACTGACAAAAAAGATGCTTCTAAAAAGAATCTCTCCCCCTTTCCAAGAGCCTCTTTTTTTCTAGTTAGCTTCTTAGATGTTCCCCCACTTCTTGAGGTCAATTTTAAGTAAAAATAGGAAAGGAATTTTGCCAGTATTGGGGGTGGGGGAAGAGAAACCCACTCATTTCTATATTCACTGTGACATATGAGGCCCCATGTCGACTAGTCCTTATCTTGTTATCAGTTATCCTTGATAGGGGATCAGGAATGGAGCTCAGTGATAAAGCACTTTTCACAAAACAAGGCCCTGCCAGAATTCTGTCTCAAAACCAAAAACACAAACAGAACCCCACAGTTACCTTTAGAAAGCAAGAGAAGCTTATGACATTGGCATCTAAGAAGTCTTTTTGAAAATGTTTACCATTCAGGGTTAGTGAACTTCATGTTATTTAGCTTATTAGCCATCCAGTTTATTGTTTCCTGTGAACTCCAGGGTAAGGCCAGAAATTTGGGTAAGTTTTTGATAAGGAAATTCCTTGGTAGGTAGTTAGATTTTTGTCTCCCTGCTATGAGGAAAAAAAAAAAAATTCATGATTGTCTCTGGGTGAGGTCATGGTATGCATTGGACAGCATGGCTCCCCCATGTTTCCCTACCACTCCGGGAACCTTTTCAGGATGCACCTAGACCCCCTCTAACTTAACCTTCTCCTTCTCTATTTTTTGTGAATATAAGATTTTTTAATTTTTATTAATTACTTTATTCAGTTTGTATTCCCCCGTGAACACCTCCCTCCTCCCCTCCCAGCCCTATCAACCCTCTCCCTTCTCTACGCATGCCCCTCCCCAAGTCCACTGATTGATAGAGGGGAGGTTTTCCTCTGCTTCTTTCTGATCCTAGTCTATCAGGTCTCATCAGGACTGGCTGCATTGTCTTTCTCTGTGGCCTGGTAAGGCTGCTCCCCCCTTAGGGGGGTATGTATGTATGTATGTATATATATATATATATATTTTTTTTTTTTTTAATTTTATGTGAATTGGTGTTTTGCCTGCATGTATGTCTGTAGGTGTCAGATCTTGGAGTTAGAGTTGTGAGCTGCCATGTGGGTGCTGGGAATTGAACCTAGGTCCTCTGGAAGAGCAATCAGTGCTCTTAACCGCTGAGCCACCTCTCCAGCCCCTAACCTTCTCCTTCTAATAGCTGTTCTGTTCCATTTTTAGAGCATATCTCATTCCTCCGGGGGTTGAGGGAGAATCCGCTGAGTCTCCCACATCTAGACAGGAGGCCTTATAGCTCCTGTCTCTCCCTTGGCCCCTCACATCCAGAGGACTTTGCTGTTCATATGGCACACTGATTTTTTTTTTTTTTTTTTTTTGAGGCCATTTACATCTACATTCTTGTCATGGCAATTACCTTTTTATACCAGTGTGACCAGTATTTCCAGATGACTCCTTTTCCAAGTTGACTTTTGGACAGGCAGCATTCATTGGCCTCTTCAGTGAATCACTTTCACCCAGTTTTTCCAGGCTTAAACAAATCTTGTACCTGGAGATGAAAAGACCCTTCTATCTAGGAAATTGGAAGAGAAGCCTGTCTGTGCAGTCTCTTGTCCATTTTGTGCACTAAGCTTCTTTACAGCCTGGCTCCTCATACCTTCCACAAACAGTACTGCCTACTGCTGGATGATCCCTATGACAGCCTATAGCTAGCCAGCTTTGACTGAAGGTAATAAGGATAAATTAATATCATTTACAAAATAAAAAAAAAAAAGAGCTGTTCAATAAGGGCCTTCACATGACATACCGGTGGGGGGCGGGGGGAGAGAAAGGCAAGAATATGGAATGTGTGCTTTTTTTTAATACCAGCAAAATCAAAATCAACTCTATATAAAGGGAGTCAAAGTAGTTGGCATCATCCTTTGCATCTTTGACTTTTGCAATAAGATTTATAAAGTTGATTAGCAGAGCCGGTTGTTATGGTGGTGCACATCTTTAATCACAGCACTTGGGAGGCAGAGAGACCAGCCTGGTTTACAGAGCCAGTTCCAGGCCAGCCAGGCTACATAGAAGACCCTGCCTGAAAAACAACAGCAGCAATATTTGAGAAATTAGTGTTTTAGAAGCATCTTTGCTAACATTCCCATATTTCTCCCCCTTCAAACTATCCCACCCTCATTTGTCAGTGGCTCAGACTCAGCCTCTTGTGACTGCCTACTCCAAGTGCTTGTATTCCTACTATATTTGAGAGATGCTATCCTGACATGGTGTGAATTACTCATTCAAATGTAGGTACAAGGCTCCTGTTTATAGGATTAACAATGTATAAGTGTTCAGTGTTTTCAAAGAGTTGGCCATTTATTTTATTCAAAAGTGGTAACAGTGATGGTAAAAAAAGGTTTCAAAATTAATACCCCTCACAGGATGCTAACAACCATTTTTTTCATTCATTTGATTCACGCAGAAGTCATTTACCTTGCTTGGTCTCAGTTGAACCCTGATTAGCATTTAAGCCAGTTGATAAGGATTCAGTTCTAAAAGTAGTAGGGCTAAAGAAATATACAGAATGATGAAAGAAAACGCACCTGTAATCCCAGCACTCGGGAGACAGATGGGTCTCCTGCAGGCAGATCTCTGAGTTTGAGGCCAGCCTGCTCTACAAAGTGAATTCAGGACAGCCAGGGATATGCAAAGAAGCTGTCTCAAAAAAAAAAAAAAAGAAAGAAAGAAAGAAAGGGAAGAAAAAGAAAGAGTGAGAAAGAAAGAAAGAAAGAAAGAAAGAAAGAAAGAAAGAAAGAAAGAAAGAAAAGAAAGAAAATGCACAATTGATGTCTACAGGATATAGTAAATTTGTATGTGCATGTACAAATCCTTCAATCCCTTTTAGCATATATTGGTCTTCAGTATAGGCTTCATAGAAATATTCCATATTGAACTGGAGGTAACCTCTTCCCCCCCCCCCCAAAAAAAAAAAAAAAAAAAAGAAAGAAGAAAGAAAGAAAATCCAACCATTTTGTTGACTACAGAGTAATCAGAGAAGGGGACAAAACTTGGGAATATACCCATGTTCCTATCAAACAAGCTCCTAAACACATTCTGACCTTCTTTGTAAACAGACACACTTGCTCTTTGTATGTGACTAGAGATAGCCCTGTGGTACAAGTGTTTTCGATAGAACCTGACTTAGGGGAAGAAAGGGGGCAAGGGATGGACAGTGTTGCAAACAGAACCTTATGTCTTCACATTCCTGGCAAAAATACATTCCTTTTCAAAAATACATTAAGCTTTGCAATTGATAGCTGAAATTATCCCCACTTTGGGGACATCAAAGGCTAGAGGTGTGTGACATCTCTACTACTGGACCCCTGAAGTAGAGTCTTGGGCTCTGTGTCTTCTGTCCTTCATATTGTTTCTTCTTCCTTGCAGACTGCAATAAGGTCACTGACCAGTGCCTATCCTTCTTTAAACGCTGTGGAAATATCTGTCATATTGACCTGAGGTACTGCAAGCAAGTCACCAAGGAAGGCTGTGAGCAATTCATAGCAGAAATGTCTGTGAGTGTCCAATTTGGGCAAGTGGAAGAAAAACTTCTACAAAAACTAAGCTAGTTCCAGGACAAGTGTGTAAATATGAAGGGTTGGAGGAACACAGCCGGGGAGGGGGAAAGACTGCAAAAACAAGTGGGCTTATATTTCCCTTTGGAATCTGGAACAAGAGAATACAAGACACAGTTCTGTTTTCCAAGTCTTGCCAAGGGAGAAGCCGTTCAACCACCCATTTGGGTTTGAGTGAGCCAGATGTTTTCTCTGCTCTTTCTGCATCAGAACTGCACTGCTTTCTGGACCATTTCTAAGGTGGCCTTTAGAAGACATTCCAGTTGGAAAGGAAGATGAGCTTTGGAGAAATCCTCTTAGAAGCCTGAGCTAGTGTTTTTGTGTTGGTAGTTTTTGTTTGGGGCAGCTTGTTCCTTGCAATGCTGAGGCTTCTGGTGTCAACTTAGAGTGGACCACACACACCATCTGCAGCCGTCTTGACACATTTTGTTTAGTTGGTTTTGTTACATCTTACATTATGCAGAACTATTTTTGTATAAATTGTTTAAAATTATTTATGCAAGATTTGAATGCATACCAGTGTTTTTATTATTTAGACTGCCAACTTTTCCTTCAGGTAGGAGAAAACTTAACCTGTACTTCATCAACATAAAACCCCAATCTACAGATGTGCCCAGGTGTGACAGGGGGCTATGACCTTCCACTTAAAAGCATGTTTAACTGGATGCTGAGAGCCCACTTTGTATGTCAAGAAGTTACACAAGCATGTTGTGGAATAAGCGTAAAGTACAGTCCAGGTAAAACACCTTGCCAATAGAGAGTTCACTTTTTCCTCAAGATTTTACAATGCAGATTTCAGCCTTTACACTCAAGAGGGTATTGCTCCAAGCATGAGCTCTTGTATTCTACCTATATAGATCTAATTTATACCATGAATCAAGTAAAATAAATGTGCCCACAGCCTTCCTTTCCTTTTTCCCCTCCTTTGAAGTGTTCAGTTAAGTTGGTAACCTTGCTATTTTCTAGTTGTCAAGTTCTGCATCCATAAGTGCCATTGATGTACGGTGGTGTTTCTTAGCCTTTCCCTTATGCAGTTTTACCTTTGTTGGATTTGTATAAACAGTTGTACAAAAAAAATCCACGCTTGGTGTTTGAGGGTTTCTGTTTTATGAGAGGGTCGAAAATTTAATTGGAACGCCCAGGGTAAACGGACTCTTAACAAAATGGACCCCAAACTATGTCATCTTAGAAATGCAGCAGCCCTGATATACAAATTTTTTTTCTCCTATTGAAAGATCTGTTTCTAACTAATAAAGGTATTGGGGAAAAAACTATGTTACAGTGATGGCCACCTGTGGGTATTAGGAGCAATGGCTCACCTGTTTGAATGAGATGTCTCCTACTGCACCTGTACAAAAGTAATCTTCTTGCATGGCCACTGTCTATCTTATTCTTCTACTGCAGTGATAAACTGCTGTGACCAAAGCAATTTATAAAAGAAAGTTTAATTGAGCTAATTTATGATGATGGAGGGGGAGAGAGGTAGAGCAGTTATCAGCTGAGAGCTCGTGTATCTTGATTAATCCACAAGCAGGAGGTGGGAGAGAGGTACACTGGGGATGGCAAGTCTTTCTGAAACCACCTTCAGTGGTTTTATCCACCTTCGATTTGTTGGCCTTCGTTCACTCACCTCTCCAAGATCATGCCTCCTTACCCTTCCTAACAGGTCCACCAACTAGGGACCAGGTATTCAAACATGAGCCTATAGGGGACCATCTCATTCAAACCATCACAACTACTTAGCATACTCTTTCCTACAAATCACAAATGTAGAGGCCACACAGGTGCCCTACCCATACCTTCAACTCAAGGAAGTTGAATTCTGTGCAGTGACCTTAGGCCTGGGGGTTAAAAGGCTAAGACATTAGATTTTGGGGTTACAGAACATTTTAGACAGTTCTAACTTTATATTCATGTATAGAAATAACTCTAAAGATGGATAAGATAAAGACCTTGGCCCTGCAAGACAAGCCCTTTCTACCAACACTCTAGTTTTAAAAGAGCTCATCTAGAACTATTAATCCTTACCTTTTTTGACTCAAATTCTAAGACAGTGGCTTCTATGTTTAACTCTCTTAAGACTTGTTAACACTGTTTTTTACTTGTAAAAAAAAGTAGCTGACTCTACTGACCTGTAGATGCAAAGATCATTTCTATGGTAGTTTTACTTCTTTGAATCTCCAAAAAGACAGCTGCACCCTGATGTTTAGAAAAGCCATCTTCTCCCCTGAGAACTGCTTTTGGGTAATTTTTTTCTCCCACATAAACAGTCCCTGCTAAGAATCTGATTTCACATCACCATAGGCACACAGCAGAGCAAAGACATAATACAGCTCCAAACGAGTACATCTCTCAAGAAGTACTGAACCACCAAGGAATACTATATTCCAAAACAAACCTGTAGTCTCTATAGAATTTTCTAAATTACATTTATTTATATATGTGACGTGCATGCATCTTGGCTCACATGTGGTGCTACTTAAGGAAGTTGATTCTTTCCTTCCACTGTGTGGGAAATTAAGCTTGAACTCTGGTCATGTGAAGCATGGCAAATGCCTTAACCTATGGAGCCATCTCAACAGCCCTCGCTATAGTTTTAAACAAGCTTCAGATGAAGCCAGCCTAAACCACACATTACTAACAGGTGCTTCAAGATGACACACCACAGCAGTAAAGTAGTAGAACGACCACAACCTATGCTATGGTCTATCTGAGCTTCCAAATCCAAATGTGAGCACCAGTCCATCAAGGGAACCTGACGTTTACAGAGGAAGATATAATGTGGCTCAAATTATATTCTTTTCTACTGTGAAAACAAGAACAAGATTTCAGTGCATTCTGTTGTGAACCTTCAGAACTTTATCCATTTGACATATTACCTGTTAAAAAATGCTTACCCTCTGCCAAAAAATTAAGCAGTTATCCCTAGTATTCACCATGGACTCATTCTAAGACCCCCTGCCCCACAGATACCAAAATCCACACATGCTTAAATAACACGCATGTTATAGTATTTGCATATGACTTGTACACATAATCCTGCACATTTTACATCATATCCAGATGACTTAAAATAACTCATACAATGAAAAGTAAGGTGAGCTGACAATTGTTCTCAACTCAACTTTGCCCTTGTGCATAAGCTATTGATCTCAAATTTTCATTTGCTATGTGCACTAAAGAAAACCTCAGCATTATCATTAGATTTGAAATCTCTTGTCTGACCTCTCCATCATCCCAGCGCTGGGGCTTACTAAAACCAGTTATCACCCTCAGTGTGTGTGTGCGCGCGCGCACTGAGATTTTAGACAAAGCTGTTAACTTTTCAGAGACTAGCTTTTCCATCCAAGTGAGGCAGTATCGATTTTAGAATGACAGTAGTGACTAGTGGAGAAAACCATAAAGTACCTAAAAACACCTTGTTATAGTAAATACAACTATGGTGAGCAGCAAAGATGGTCTCTGAAGGCATTCAAATCTCTTCTGAAGAGGTGCTAGACCAGGATGTTGATGTCTGTTCATGCTCTATGCAAATAAGTTTGAAACTTCAGGAGACAATATTAAACTACTAATTTTATTCCTAAAGTTGAAATTACTAGCAGATAGCACTAAAAACACACATTCACTGTACAAAACAGTGTAAACTGATTACATGTTAATAAAGAATTTAGCACACACTCATGTGTACACACACGCACACACACACACACTTATAAGGTAAGAAGCTAGATGCAGCCCTTGCTATTAAAAGCTGTACCCAAACAGAAATGGACATATTTAATCTAAGGCCCTGGCAGTTGTCTCCCAATTATGTTTAAATGCAGAAATAGCAACAATGTGGAAACTTACATTCATTAAATATTAGCATTTAAAATATACATGACTAATCAAGTGAACATTCAGAGCAGCTATTGCTCATTATATTCCACACTAGCCCACTCATCAACAGTGAGTTCACTTCAAAGAAAACAAAAGTTTCAAAAACAGGATGAAAAAGGGAAAGGATGAGACAGGGCGAGTGGCCTCCAAAGAGCAAGAGCGAATACCCACACACTCAACAGTCTGACTTGAGCAACTAGTGCTCAGGGGAGACAAGTGATAAAACCCAGCAGAACCTGGGAAGGCCATGTGTCCTCAGGCAGATGGATCTATGGCACAGCCTAGGTTTCTTCAACTTAGGATGACTTTCTGTCCCCAGTTAGTAATGAAAATAATTTTTAAAAATAGCTTCTGCCTTGGAACAGTAAGTTTCCTTTTGTGCACTGATGTGTTTGGGGTAAAGTCACGAGTGATCCACTACAAGGGTGGGCCTCAGTTTCAGGACTTGAAAACATGCACTGCGCGAACCACATACTGCCGGCAGATGGGACACTCACTCATGCGCTTGCCACACTTGGTGCAGGTGACCATGTGCCCACACTCCAACAGGACACAATCAATAACTGCATCCATGCAGATTCGGCACAGGCTGTCATCTTCCTCATCCTGAAGTTGCATCCGCTCACCATCTGAAACGAGATAGAGAGCTCTGGACAAGGCTGCTGGCCTTGTTCCTCTGCTCACAACCAAGCCACCATCTTCTGAGCAGCACCACAGGCCCAGTACCACCCCAGTGCACTACAAGAAGTAGTCCTCAGTCTCTCTACACTTCTAATATTAGATGCAATGCCCATCTCAAGAGTTATGTGAAAAACTATGTGGCTTGGGACTGGCTGAAAGTGTTCAATAAATGCTGGCTTCTTATTTCTGTTCCATATCATGATATAATATAAGGGGTTTGTGATAAGGATATACTCATTCTGTGCTTAGGAGAAACAGGGGCTGGGGATGTAGCTAGCTTGTGTGAAGCTTTGGGTCTGAGTCCCAGCACTGCATAAACCAAGCACAATGTACATGCCTACCGTACTGGAGACAGAGGCAAGAAGATCACAGTTCAATGTTATCTTCGTTTACAACTGAGGCCAGCCCAGGCTATAGGAGACCTTCTCTTAAGTGTGTGTGTGTTGGGGGTGGAGGTAATCAACCACCCGTCTCACAGGGCCATTCACTAGTTATGCCAAAGAGGAAGTTTAGCTCAGTTGTTCGAGATCTATGTCCATAAAGATGAGGGACTTTATTCCACTCAAAGGATGGTTTTGAATAACCACACATTAGGTAACAAAAGTTCCCTTGCAACTTGACAAACATCAAATGAAATGTTGCTGTTGGATGGGCTGGGCCTTCCTGGCTCTGTAGCCTAGAAAACTCAGGCACTGAAAAAGTGATAAACTGAAAGTTAACCTTAGCCAAGACTCGCCCTTAAACCCAAGGACTCAAGAGTTTTCCTTTGCAAAGAAGAGATTAATGAGATCACATACATGGTTCAACAAAGCCCAAGGACTCAAGTATGAAGGGCCAGGAGTCTCTCTCTTTTTTTTTTAATAATTTATATGCATTGGTGTTTTGCCCGCATGCCTGTCTGTGTCGGGGTGTCAGAACTGGAGTTACAGACGGTTGTGAGCTGCCATGTGAGTGCTGGGAATGGAACTCAAATCCTCTGGAAGAATAGCCAGTGTTCTTAGTTGCTGAGCCATCTGAACTCTCTCTTTGCTTTTTTTATTTGTTGGTTTTTTGTTTTTATTTTTTTTTTTATTTTTCTGTGTGTACCCATGGCTATCCTGGACTTCTTTGTAGACTAGGTGGCCTTGAACTCACAAAAACCCGCCTGCCTCTGCCTCCTGAGTGCTGGGATTAAAAGCATGAGCCACCATGTTGGTGCACACCTTCAATTCCAGCACTTGAGAGGCAATGGCAGGCAGATCTTTGTGAGTCTATAGAGACAGGGTCTGACAATGACCCTTCTAGCTTAGGTTCCTGAGTACTGGGATCCCAGGGATGCATGACAAAACATCCCAATTTTTAAAGCATGAGAACGGATACTCAGGGGGAAAAAATAGAGAAATAAACCTACATGACTTTTGGTTTTCTTCATTCTCTCTGTACAGCCGGTTGACTTTCTCCACCAGCTCCCATTTTTCACAACATCCAGAATAGTTGACAAAATTCCGAGCCAGGATTTCCTTCAGCTGGCGCACACTCATCCCTTCTACCTCTTCAAGGCTTGACAGGTCAGACAGTGAAGCTCTTACTTTCTTCTTAGACAGTCCCGGGTTCTGAAATGAGAGCATCTGTTACCTTTGTTCCCACAAATTTGAACTGCCTAACTGATATCGGTCTCCGTGGCCCTGGGGTGCTCTCCCCAGACTTCTCAGTTGCCTGAAGTGTTTATTAATGCAGTATCCTACATCTGATCAAGAAGAAACAACCCAAAGCAAGTCCAGCACCTTTCCTTTCTGCCATAAGCATTTATCAGGGAAAGTAATTTTAAAGGAATTACACCTGTTCCTCCAAGTTTTCTTCTTCTTGTTGTTCATCATCATCATCTTCATCATCA